GGGAGGCAACAAAAGCAAAACAACAAAACAGAGACAGAAAGTCTGGGAGAGGAAAAAAGAATCAAAAACGCCTTCAGGTGCCGGTATGTGCAGATGCAAGAGAATCACATATCCCATAGCTGTCTTTTTCATTCATTAACGGCAGTTCTGCAGTGTGGCTTAGCTGAAAAAGTATACATTTAAAATGCTGCATACAAATTGGGGCATCTTTTTTGTGTGTCTGGCTTTGGTTTAATTTCCCTTTTGTTTGAATGTGTGGGATTTCAGTTTTGAACGTGTTGAAGTCTACGGACTTTGCTAGGTAGTATACCAGGGATGTTACTGATTTTACACAGAAAGGAATCAGTCCTTGCACTTTAGCTGGCAGGGGGACTTGGGGAGGCTTCATACAGTCTAGAATAGACTGAAGGAGTGGTGAGCCACATTCAGGTGATGTGCAACTGTAAACAAACAAGCCAGGCCTCATAATGTTGTCTCCTGCCTACAAGAGTCCTGCAGTGTTTTCTCTGAATCCATCAAACATTTAGCACATTGCAGACAGCATATTGATTGTGTCATATGTATGGGGCAACTTTCATAACTGTATGTATGTGTACATACATAAAAATTTATTTATAAAGTTATAAAGAGATTCCCAGGATCTTTGTCAGCTGGAAAGAGTTCTCTCTGTTTATAAAACAGAGATAAAAACTGAACACTGGTATGTTTACATAAGATGCTCAGGTCAGCAACAGATCTTAGACTTGAACTTTGAGACCTAGTACCTCTGAAGATATTCTGAGGGACTTTGAACTTTGTTTTAAAAAGCTACAGTGCCAGGTCTTTCATCAGTAGTATTTACTAGACAAAAGCAATGTGTCTTCTGCAACTTGTAACAAAAATGGGAAAATCTGTTTCTCAGTTGGGAGCGAGTTCAGTCATTGGTGTTTCAGTGATGCTCTGAAAGGCCACGTCATAGGCTGTCAGAGAAACTACAGAGGTGCTAGTCATCCTATAAATCAAGTGTCGTTTTGTCTGTGTCTTGCCAGGTGATTAGAGTGGATGATTGTCCCCAGAACACCCAAGTGAGCTCAGAGCCCGTGGAGATCAATGTCTGGGATGAGCAAGAGAAACACAGCAAGAACTGGCTCACTGTGTCTAATTTCAGTCAGCTAAGTATGTGATATTTTGCAGACGGTGAAATTCAGAACAGCTTTTAAAGAGAAGCAGTAAATAAAAATTCACAAATTCAAAGTGTCATCCACCACTTTCACCTCATGGCATAATTTTTACAGAATTAGAATTAGATTGCAGGCACACACGACTTAGTTATTTGCTGTCTCATTGCAGAGGCAAAAGGGGCATAGGTTGAATGGAAGGTCAGTTAAATCTTTCCAGGACTGCTGCCAGTCTCACGTGGGAGATAGTAGAGTACTAATCCTCAGGAATCAGTGGGAAGCAAGGAGGATGATATCCTTGTCTCCTCTCCTGAGGTGTCTTCTAAAGTGGCATCCTGGCTAATTGCAAAAATAAACTCTCTCGTGGATTTCTCAGGGCATTTACACTCGCAGGCAGTGCTGTGATACTGTATCTGCTGGCAGATCCTCTGCATGCATTATTCATTACTCATTGCTCAGAAACACATCCTCTAAAGGGAAGAAATGAATTCTGCATTGTCTCTGTTGGAATGAAAAGGGAATGGCATTCTTCCTTTAGTACTTCTCCAGCCCTTTCATTCTCAGAAATCCTTTGCATAGTTCATCTTACCTTTCAGCTTTGCTGTGATGCAGCTCACTGGCTTCATCCTGTGAGCTGCTGGGAGCAGCACCAGGGAATGCTGTGACTCAGCACAGCATGGTCTGAGAAGGGCTGTGCTCCTCTGAAGTGTGCTGACAGAGAATGGAAACAGTCTGGTTTAACCTTACAAAATTCTGTTACTGCTTTTATAGCCCATTACGTGTTTGCTGGGGCAATATGGTATATAGGTGTTTATTTTATAGCACTGCATAAGTGTTTAGTTTGTGGCAGTAGAGCTGTTCATTTACACCCTGGAAATAGCTGATACCTGCTCTTTTGGCTAGGTTTGGAACGTCTCAGTTACATGCACCAGAAAATGAAAAATCAAGACATCGGTAGGCATACCATACCGTTCTGTGATTACCTGAGGCATTCTCGAGAGGTAAGACCTAAGATTACACATCCTAGTCCATAGTTTTGGCTGGGGTGAGCCCAGGGTAGCTCTACTGACATCCCTGGACTTGCCACTATGGGTTTTTTGTCATGAAATACCTCTTGAGAGATGAGGAACTTTGTTGGCTGCTGGCACAGCACATGTGTGCGAGTAAATGAATAATTTAACAGCTGTTAACACTCTATTAAGATTATTGAAGTAGGATATTAAATTATTGAATCACGGAGTGGTTCTGAGTATGAAAAAGTTGGTCAGAAATGACGCGTGTGTTGATGTTTCATTAGGCAATGAGTGAGCACACAGCTTGGTCTTGAACCTGTGGGCAGAATTGGTTAGTGGAGTGAAGTAGATTTTGGAAAGTTAGCTACATAGCTCTTAATCTATCACACAGAGATAGTTATTTCTTGCAAAGTGGGAGTTAAATATTGATAATAATTGCAAAGCGTAGATTTCATAACCACTGGCTTATAAACACCATATCTTATTATTTATCAGAATTAATTTGCAGGTCCATAACGTAAAGGTCCTCTGCCTATGTAAATCAGCCTAGGCTCATTGACTTTGATGGAGCTAGACCAGTTTAAATTTCCTGAAGACTGGGGGCAGGAATCTGGATTATAGAAACTTCTATCTGTTTTAAAATGTTGTAGCTAATGGAAGAAAATGTGTCTTTCACTACATTGCGAAGGGGTATCTCAGAGGTATGAAAGAAAATTAACAAAGAATAAATTAAGAAAACGAACTGTGAAAGAATCCTTTCCTCTTCCTTTTTCAACAGCATCCTTCCTTGCCTGTTTTACTTATAGCACTCTTGATTATTAAAATTGTGATCTTTAAAAGCCTAGCTTATTTTTCACTGTAAATGCTGTGAGTTGCCTTTTTTTTTTTAAAGGAATAAAAATAAACCAGATAGTTTCAGATCTGGTGTTCTGAGTGCTGTAGAATTTGAATCCCAAATACCAGGGAAGAGAACTTGAATCTAAATTTTAAAAATGGCAGGTTTTTGTATGAAAGAGTGGAGAGAGAGAGAGAGAGAGAGAAAGAAAGAAATAAATTTACTGATTTTGTATTCTGTAAAAACTGAGCTTGGAGTCTAAATCAATAAATCTTTGAAATGTGAAACACAGGGTCAAACAAGCAAAATAAAGGTACAGTCAGTTAAACTGTGTGAACAGACCAAGTAATCTGGTGCTTCAAAACTCATATTAAGATGTCTTTGGTAAAACTCAAGGGTGGGATTTTTAAAGTTCTCAGAAAAATTCCACTGATTACAGCAGGATTGGAGTTAGGCCGAAACCAGTCACTTCCAGAACGCCAACTCCAAATTATCTATTCTTTCAAGATACAGCCTCCAATACCCACTGAGTCGCTGTGCCTCTCCTTAAGTCCTGTCTGGGTTATGAGAATTTATATATATCACCGAGATTTAACATGTTGCTGCATCCAACTGTTCTGCTTGGAGTATGATACATTTTAAAGAATGTATTTTTCCTGAAGTGGTCCTTCTCAGATTTACCCATTGAACACCAGTGGTTCAGAAATGCCTCCTGATGGGTAGCAGTGAGCAAAGCAAGGGTGTGTGTAGGAAGATTTTGGTTTTGTTAAAGATTTTTCCATCTGCAAAGCAAGCTACAAGGTGAAAACATGAGTGAAATAAAAAAATCGTGAGTTAAGTTTCAGATAATATTCAAAGCTGAATTTTAGTTGATTTATCTTTAAACTTTGTCGTCTTTGAACTTTTTTGGGGGGCTCTGTTTCTTTTGAGGATTGAAATCTTCGTGACTACTATTCAGGAGAATAATCCCATTTCTGACTAGCACATTAGGAGGACCCGGCTGGCCCAGTTTTCCCTAATATGGCTGGAAGTTTAAAAGACTATTTGAGTACTTCTTTACCTATAAGACCTGGAAAATATGTGATCTAAATATCACTGGAAAGCTGCTCAGTCTGTACCTTCTTCTGTTATAGAGGTTTAGGGTGCATTTTATTTTCAACAACTGTAAAGCCTATCCCTAAACTGGAATTTTCCAATATAAAGAGAGTTCTCTAATACTGTCCATATTAGAATACCTTTAACATGCTTTTGTGAGTGTATTGAGATATAGATGGGTACCTCAGTATTTTATTCAAACGTATGGAGACAGCATGGAAAACTATAACGTGAGCAAATTAGTTCCATTTTAGTGTACGTATGGCAATGCTGTGATTCACCTGCCTGTCAGTGTCATTATTCATCCTAACAATAAGCATAACAATAAGTGTTTTCAAGATTGTACCTTTTTGGGTTGCGCAGTGTATATATGACAGTGACGTGCAGATTTTACCAGTAAAAGTATCTCTCCTCTTTACAGGATTTGAGTAATAGCATGTTTGGAACCACCAAGAAAAGTAATCTGAACAGGAACTCCTCGTATGTATTATTAGTGTATTAAGATATTCATCACATGCTTTTAGAAAGAGACTTCTATACTTTCTGCAGGTTCCACTTCAGTTCTGCAAAATACTTAGGATGAGAAATTTCTGTGAAATGAAGAGTTAAGGCAATTCAGTCTGTTTAAGTTTCTTTAAATGATGCTTTATTAATGGGGATAAAGGATATCCATTTAAACAAAGTGTATAATTTTAGCTGGAATAGACACCCTTTTTTGTTCTAACAATAATCCAATTTTCTAATTCAATCACTAAGATCACCATAGCATCTTTAAATAGCTATTATTCCAATGTAGTGAGCATGAAAGCTGCATTTGCGTTTGCTGTGCAAATTGCATGTTTCCTTTTTTAATAATTAAAATGCTAGCAGCTCCTGAAAGCTCCTCTCATTTTCTGATTCATCTCTTTCGTACTGAGTCTGCACATTTACAAAATATTTGGCTTGGTTTTCTTAATGGGTTTTCAATAGTTGTTAAGCTTTGATTACATTTAGTGAAAGTATACTGATTTCAAAGGTGTTTTCAATTTTATTGTGGGTTTTTTGATTTTTTTTTCCCAGCTTGATTGATCATTATCTTAATATTGGGGGTATTTTTTCCACATGCAGTGCTGTCTCAGTGTTCCTTTTCTTTCTTATTTTCATAAATTTCTTTTATCTCTCTCTTAGTAACACTGTGGATGTAATAAACAAAAGACACTAGAAAGCTGTCACATCCTGTGTGATTTCACCAGGGGAAGAGGAAAAAAGATACTGTGTTTTTACCCATCCTGTGGTTGTTTTTTTTTTTTACCCAGTCATTTATAGGCAGTAGGCAAACTGCATACTTACCAGCAGGACTTGCAGGCCGTTGAGTGGCCTGATTCTGTCAGTTAGTCTGTTGTCTTCAGTGGGATCTCTCTGGTCTGTGAGTTGAATCATATCCACTGTCTTCTCTAACAAAGACTGCTTTAACGTTAATGCTGATGCTGTAGTCTCTCTGCAGCCTTGCTAATCGGAAGGACCAGCAGTTTAAAAAATCTGGTTTTGCGCAAGCAATGGTAATGACATATGTAACTCTGAATACATCTCAGCATTGATTGAAAAATGAACAATTGTGTGTGTGATTGAAGTGGTCTTTAACTGTTACTGTTACTGCAGTGTAAACGTTACCAACAGCGGTGCAGAATCATAAGAGCAGCTCAACATAAAGCAGAGAAAGAAACGTGCATAAAAATTTGGCTGTTCTTCAGTAACTGAAGATTATTTGCTGATTGTTGCAATGAACAAAGTTGCACTGAGGGTTATTTTGTTTTATGATTGCTGATCAAACCTTTTTGAATTTTGCCTTTACATAGATGACATTTCTTTCTACGTACCAGTGTTACTTAACAACAGAAATTTTGGAGTAAAATATCAAATGTTTGCTTTTAAACAGGTTGAGAACTTCAGAGGAAACTGACAGTAAGTTTTTGGTTGCTTGTCACTCATTTTAATTCCTCTCTGCAAATCTCACTCTGACAATTCTGAAGTACAAAATCGAAAAGGAATTTAATTTACTATAGTTGGAGGGTTATAGGAAAATGTTCAATTATTGTTTCATATGTTAGTTACTAATTCGTACTTTAAAGTGAATTATTTTTTTATGAGGACATGTTTTTCTCATGATAACTGTGAAATCTTAAAAGATATTTTTACTCTAGTCTGCCCAGTAATGTTGTCCTTTTCAGCACAAAGAAACCCTTTAAGATGATGGTGCTGCTTTCATCCCTGGCAGTCTAAGAGACCTCTTGAGTTAAAGCAGGGTGTATACCTGAGGACAGATTGTGATATAAAATTTTTAATGTATGCTTGATTTTTCAAGTTGCAGTTTGGTGTAATACCTTTGTTTGTGTGGTTTCCCTGAAATTATGAAATCGGTGAAGGATTGAATTTATTATGAAATGGCCCATGAAGAAATTAAAGGTCATAGCGAGGAATGACTTTGTTCCACAAAAGTAGAGTGCTAGTTACCTTCACTTGTATTTGTTGCCTTTTAGTCAATCTTCCAGTTTTCCTGACGCCGCTTAGCTGTAAGAGGCTGAGCAGCTGGGCTTCTCTCTCTTTTTGAGGCTAGCTGTGATGCAGAAGCCAGTCGCTCTTAGACTTATCTCCCCTTCAAGTGCTGCTCTTTCTGGGTCTGGCTGTGCACAAAACGCTGCAGTGCTGAAGCACACTGCTGCAAGCATAGTGAGTTGTGGGGCTGCTCTCTAGAGCGCACCGTTGCTTTGATTAAAATCCAGTTTTCCCATCCTCAGAAGGAATGACTTAGCCCCCATTCCCCTTTTATGTTTGTTGTTTTACAACATACAAAATGCAACAAAACTAGTTGGGTCCAGCAAGAAAGAGAGCAAAAGGGACCTTGAATCACCAAGGGCACTCAGTGGAAATGATGGCCCTTCCCCCAACATCTATTTGTGTTTTTTATTTAAGATCTCTTTTGCTAAAAAAGGGAATATAAGCAAATAAAATACACCAAGAAGAAAAGTGTAATGTTCAAATATTTTGATGAAGATTCAGTTTTGATTATCTCATTTTTCAGAATTAAAAATAGTACAGTATACATATTTTCTGAAATGTGGCATTTTGAAGGATTGTTTTCCAATATAACAAAGTGATTTCATCTAATTAATGGAAACATGCTCATTAATCTTGGTTTTATTAAAAAGACTTTTTATAAAACAAAGATTTTTGGACCAAATTTGACCTGGCTGTGCCTGTTAAATATGTAACCACATATTTAACTGTTTGTTTATATTTTAACAGCATTTTAGATGTTGTGGGTTAATGGGACAGTATTATTATAACTTTGGTGTTATAGTGTAGTTAATGGAATGCTTAAAGACTGAGGATGGAGTTGGAAAAATCATGCCTTTGGGAGGCTGTGAAGCATGATGGACAGCAAAGTGCTTTTAATATCCCAGAGGTGTAATTGGCTTAGAGAAGCTACATGTCCTTGAGGTTAATATGACAAGTTTCCCACCATTTCCCTGAATAAATAAGTTATCTGGCTATATTACACTGATGACTGAAATCTGCCAATATACTGTACATTATAACGTAGTTAAAGCCTATTAGCAATTCTCCTCTTTAGAATGCTGAGACAGTAGTTCTGATTAATCTGTTTCATGACAAACTCTGAGATGGAACGAATTCAAAAATCATGCATTTATCTCTGCTATAATAATTAAAGTAATGATCCTTTAAACATTATTTCAGATATCTTCACCTGCTTGAAAACATCTCAAGATCTGCATCATCACTACTCAGGTAAGCAGGAGGCACCAGAATGATAGCTGAGTAATGTAACAAATTAGAAAGAATATTAGTTCTTCCCTTGTCATGCTCTGTGATTTTCACTTTGAAGAGTTGCACAATTGCCCAGTGCTAAGAAGGTTCTGTATTAATTCATCCCTAACACTCCAGTGACAAAATTATGAATTATTTTCTTGCTGCTAATTGCTCCATTCCGGGTATTTCTGGCAAATCCAGAGCAGAATATAGATAATCGCTTCAAAATATCAGTGGAAACAGTGAATAGAGCTCCAATTCCTGGGGGGGTAGAAGAGGCACTCATTTGTTTATAGCTGTCACTTCCCCTCACACCTACCACATCCTCCTTTGTACTTTCTGGAATTGGTTTCTTCAGTTAATTGGTCCTGTACTACTTAATCTGTGTTTATATACCTATGAACTCCTGGAAATCTGGCAGGGAATAAATCATTTGGATGCTAATTGCCTGCAGTCCTGTCTTTTCCTGTACTGAGTATGCACAGATTTTCCCACAGGGCTTGGATTTCAGTTTTTCCCGGAGGAGAACTGTGGAGAGCTTGCCAGTAGATGTCTCTGTTGCCTACAGGACTTGGCCTCCTTTAAAGGGAAGCCTAGGGTAAACCAGAAGCATTAGCAGCCTCCTGAAGTTCAAAAAACTATGCGATTTTCACTGGGAATGACACCTTCTGGTTTGTAATCAGTGTACAGGAGTAATTTCTCTGACATCGTGGCATTGTTGCAGTGATTAATTTGGCTCTCATCAGGCATGCTATTTGAAATTAGGTAGAACTTTTTAGCACAAATGAGAGTGGTTTCCATTATGAGTTGACAAACGTCTCGAGAGGTTTCCAGTGTAGGTTTTCTTTCCTCAGGAAGATCGGGATAGAATTTAGCCAACTAAGCCCAGAAGTTTGATACTAAAATCCTGCAGCATATACTGCTTATGCATTATTTTTGCTATCATGTTGTGTAGGCAAATACAGTTCTGCTTCTCTGCACACCCAAAAGAACTTGAGTTTTGACCAAAGTTCAGGAGCTGGTGCAAGTGCACTTCACATTGCTTCTGGAGGCTCTAGAGTGAGCGCTGGCAGGGTCTGACAGATGGCACAGGTCTGGCAGCTCCCCTGTTCACATCCTTGTCCCTGCTATGCACTAGTTCCGTGACTAGCGCATGCTCCTAGTGAGGCATCAAGGGAGGACCTTGCTCCATGCTCCAAAACTATTCAGGCATGTTAACCAATGCCTGTTGAATTTGGAGTATGTAAACAAGCCTTGAAGTGGAGTCTGAAATGCAGATCTTCTCAAATGAGGACCCTAATTCATGGGTTGGCATGTCATGAGCCCCCTTCGCGCTCTCCTTCTGGGCTAAATAATCTCTAATTAATTTCTGCTCAGAAAAGTAATCTTAAAAAGAAGGACAGACAGTGTCCAAGCTCTGGAAGAGTCTGCCATCAGGGCTTTTTGGTTGTTCTGCAGAGGAACACAGCTTTGCTGTGGTTCACTCTGCTTTGGACGCTAGTTTTGTCTTCAGCCACTGAATAGGGAAATTAGGCAGTCAGCACAGCAGCATCCAAGTTGCCTCTGTGTTCTAGTCTTACCCTCTTTGCAGCTTACTTCACACCTCTGTCCCCCTTCCTGATAACTAAGTCATTGTGAGGACAATCCATAAATACTTAGTTGGCGCTCTGAAGTTTTGAAGGTGTTTGCCTGAGAAATAAGCTACCAATTAGGGAGATATAATAATGTCACTGATGTTGTTTGGCGAGGAGCCCAGATGAAGAAACAGTGCTTTGTGCAGGGCAAGCTTGGATTTTCCTGTGTTGCCTTGCTAAATCCCCAGGTGCTTCTGAGCCTGACAGTCACAGGCAGCGAGGGCAGCTGGGGCCAGTGCATCTCACTGGCACAGTGTGAATGTTGCTGCACTGGAGCTGGCAGGAGGAGGAAGTAGGGGCAGCCCTCGGTGGAAGGAGGAGGAGGAGCAGTCTTTCTAGCCAGCATGCAAGGGGCTTATCCCAGAAAGCCTGTTTGCTTGGAAGAAGGGAATCAATGAACAGGGGAAGGTGAAAGGGGAGGAGGGGGGAGAACTCCAGCTGCAGTGGTTTAAATCTATTTTAATAATGTCTCACGGCCTTGCGGTGTACATGAAAGACAATCATGCAAAGGGGAGTTGCTAGCTGGGTGGAACGGTGATCAGATCTGACACAGGATCACACTGCAGCCTCCTTGGCTTTGTACACTACAGTAAAGCGCTGCCAGATGTTTTTGAAACTCAGCCAGCTTGTTGTTTATTCAGTATAGTAGTGAAATCTATGTTACTTGCAGCTGTTGAAAGAAACAACTTAATGAGACTTGCTCAGACCATACCATTTACACCAGTCCAGCTCTTTGGTGAGTACCAACTTCCTGGTTATGTTTTTTGCTTTATAAATAGTCAGTGCATTATCTTTTAAAAGACTGTGTTTGAGAAATTTCCTTGGACTAATTTCAACAATTCTTCTTTTCTAAAAGAGATGAACCAGGATAGAATTGTAGCCATGCAGTAATTTAGGGACTTCTGGAAGTCATCTGGTTCAACTCCTTTTGTGGCCAGTTCAGATCAGGTTGCTGAGGGCTTGTCCAATTGCATTTTGAATATGTCTACAAAATGGAGATTCCTCAGTTTTGCTGGACGACTTCTTCCAGTGTTTGACTGACTTCATTGTGAACATAGTATTTTTCCCAGTATTTCTTGTGGCTTGTATCTGTTGGCATTCATGTGATTACTGTCAACCTCAGAGATGAGTCTAGCCCCATCTTCTCTATACCTGTCATTAGGATAGCTGAAGACAACAAAAAGATTCCCCTTAACCTTAATACCTGCCTTCTCTGTGTCTCTCTCTTTCTCTGTGTATATACATATATATATGTATAGATATATCTATATATGTATAGATATATGTATAGGATATCCCATCAAGAAGAAAACCAGGTGTTGGTTGAAAGGGCACTACTCCTGTACCTGATACAGAAGACTTACAGTGTAACAAGGAAAAGAGAACTGTGCTGTAACTGAGGAGTGGTAGAGAATAATACATAAATCGTTTGGAAGAGTTCTGAAATTAGTGTGCAGGCTTACAGCAGCAGAAGCTCTGCCTCTAGACACTTGAGATCTAGGTGCCTTCTTTTCAATGGGTAGAATATTTTGTCTCACAGCAACTAATTGCTGATACTTGCAACATCATAGGATTTCTTGGGACCAGATTGCTGCAGATAATTAATATAGCTATGAGCATATTGAACATTCTAATCTTTGAAGCTCCCAGGAGACACCTTTCTAGGTATTAAATTGTCAAAAGATAATAAAATGAAGAATTAATGTAAGATTAAAAAATGTGCCTAGTTATAGTATCTTTATTCAAGTGTCTGTCTTTTATGTAAGACACTGGCTTTTCCATTGCTTTATTTTAAATTAAAGCGTGTGCAAATTGTGGCGTTCGACAGCATCTGCATTTGTGCTAAGTGGTGAAGGTAGGCTTGGGAGCGGGGAAGAAATCTACGAATCTGAATCCAGTTTGTCCTTCCTTATGGCATTCTTTGCCATTTTGCAGATGTATTTACCTCATCACACTTGCCAGTGAAAACCTGTTCCTTACGAATTAACATTGCAAATAATGTGAGTTGCAAGAAGGAAAGCCAGGTTTAAAAAATCAGTCCACTTTTCTGTTATTTTACAAATGATGGCAACAGAAAGGTGTCTCGCTTACACTGCGAGAGAGGAATGCTGTTACAACTATATAGGGAAACAGAGTGTGACTGAGTTAAAGCTTACCAGGTATGTTCTGCTTTCAGAAAAAGGTTATTAGCAGGAGCAGAACACCTGAAATGTTGTGCAGTACAAATAACATTGGAATTTCTAGGAAAAAGACAAATCTTAGTTTAAAACACCAAAACTATAAACTTCCTGTTAATTTGCTTTAGCTTGTTCTCCTAGAGATTCCTTTCTCCAAGGAAAGTCATGTCCTTTTCAATCTAATTTCCCTGGCTCATCGTGGCCAAATCACCACTTTTGAAACAACTCAGCTGTCTGTCTGTGTCAAAAGGTGGCGCTCTCCAGCCCTTTAATTTTGTAGTCGGTAACTATTACAAGCTCTGTGTGTTTGCCTTGTTTATTTGTTTTTTTTGTTAAGCACAGTTACAAGGAAAACACTGTGAGTGTTCCATGGATCTTGATTAACTTAAAACAAGTCTTACTAAAAATTCCCCTTCCGCGTGAGTGCATAGAGGGAGCCACACTGAGGATATTTAAAGTTCATACACTGGACATAAAATGGTAACCCTTTAAAAATACGTACTTTTAAAGCTCAACCATCTTTAAGTACTTAAAAAACTGTGGCAAATGAGATTGATTTATGTAGGCCTGAGTATCAATGAGCTTTGTTTGTGTGGAAGTGTGCAGGAGGTCTTAAATTCACCTCTGTTTAGAGGCTTAATACAGGCTCTTTGGACCACTTCTGTTATCACAGCAGATCTTAAGCAGAACGTATGTAGTAAGTAGTGTAAATTTAGGCTGGGGAAGTTTTCACGCAGATGAACAGTAATGATGAAAAAGCTCTCTTTTAAAGTGTGGCTTACAAAGGTATGTAAAGTGGTATCTTATTTTAAGATACCAAATCAAAATGCAATTCTCTCCTGTTTCTGCAATGTGTGACTTCTGCTAACAAAACTTCCTTTCATTTAAGCTGGAGAGGAGGTGACAGTCTATCGGCTAGAAGAAAGTTCACCTATGAACCTTGATAAAAGCATGTCTTCCTGGTCCCAGCGTGGTATGGCTGCAATGATCCAAGTCTTGTCACGGGAGGAGATGGATGGGGGTCTGCGGAGGGCCATGAAGGTCATTTGTACTTGGTCTGAGAATGATGTATTAAAGTTGGGACAAGTATTTATTGTGAAGTCTTTTCTGCCAGAGGTGGTTCAGACTTGGCAAAAGATCTTTCATGATGGCACAGTGTTACATCTCTGCCTGAGGGTGAGTTCACACATAAAGGCACGCTGGCTGGTCTAGCCTGATGTGCCTTAAATGTTATACTGCTTACATGGGAATGCCTTCAGCATGGTTGACATGTGGTTTGATGTTATCTTTTGGAAAGGAAAAAGGTTTTGAGGAAGATATATTTCCCATTTGTAAACAGTATACAATCAAGTGTGTTTGTTTGTTTGTTTGTTTTGACAAATTCATGGCACCTTTCTTCATGAAAATGAAAGTAATGTTTATAACATTATTTTCTTCAGGAGATCCAACAGCAAAGGGCTGCCCAGAAGCTAATCTATACCTTCAATCAAGTGAAGCCTCATACTATTCCCTATACTCCAAGGTAAAATCACTGTCTTTAAGTATTAGGTGCCAAAGGTTTCTCTTTCTCAGCTGTGTGCCAGGTCTAGTGTAGCCTTCTTTTCCATAGTGGATTGAAATAGCTGCTGCTTAGACAGTCTAATGATAGTTAATCAACTTTTTAAGAGGAAAGGTAGGCAGCTTTGAACTTTGTCTTTATAGCTACATGTAATGGCAAAATAAGCTTCTTCATAATGCTGTTCCTTAGACTTAAGCAAGAATTTCCTTTTATACAATCAACATAAGATAACTTGATGTAGCTCATTTACAGTGTGCTGGAGTAAACCAGATTATGTTGTTTGTCCATAAACTATACTTTCTGATCAAGTGGTTTCTTTTGAGAGTTACCAAACTGAGAAAGCCTTTGTACTGTCTACCATTTGGTACCTCCTGCTGTTCAAAACACTCCAGCTAGGGAAGACGTGTCCTCCTTTTTGGTATATTTGCTTTGCATCATGCCATGTGCTGGCTGTGAGGATGTTCATTACCCCGCCAGCTCCTCATGGACAGCATTTATATCTACAGGTTCCTGGAAGTTTTCCTCATCTACTGCCATTCAGCGAACCAGTGGCTGACCATTGAGAAGTACATGACTGGTGAGTTTCGGAAATATAACAACAACAACGGAGACGAGATTACTCCTAGCAGCTTGCTGGAAGAGCTGATGCTGGCCTTCTCTCACTGGACCTACGTGTATACCCGTGGGGAGCTCCTTGTCCTGGATTTGCAAGGTGACTGCTAGCATGGGATCGCTATTTGAAACACAACGAAAAGCAATTCTCTCAAAAGAAAATTTAATACTGAGGAATGGGCCAAATTCTATTCTCATTTACATACTGGCAAAGCTCAAGAAAGCCATGGATATCTGTGGTGCAGCACTGATAAATGAATATCCACAGAAACACTCTGGATTAATGTAGGTGTAATGGGAAAATAATTTGGCTTCAAATACGTCTAAGCTGAATGGGCAAAAGAGCAGGTAGATAGTGTGCAGGAACATTTCAGCCAGCTCCAAAAAACCACTCCACAGTTAAGGTATTTTTATTTTTATTAAGATATATAAATAATACAGAGATTCAAGCGTACCTATGTATATATGCACACTTAAATGTATGTGTATATCTGTCAGAAGAGTGCGAACTCCTATCTGTATTTTTTTTATTTTTTATATTAATAAATCTGTAAGCAGTTTACATAAACTGCAGGCCTGAATGCTATTCACAAAGTCTGGTGACTCCTTCAAAGAGCATGTGATCACTTTACTGTACATGTGTAAGTGGGAACATGGCATATTTTAAAGAGATAAAATAGTTGACAATGTTCAGAAGATGAACAGCACCCATCAAACAGTATAAACACTATTGTTTGTCATTTCTGTCAAGGAAAATGTGTATGGGTAGACAGAAACTTAACATATTTACATTTTACAGCATCCAGAAGCTGTGAATTACAAGAAGACACGCTTATTATGCAAAATAAACCTATAATTCCATCCTTGCCTTCATTTGGTTTTAGCTGCACATGAAAAAAAATACAGAAAGACTATGTGTGTCTTCACTATAACCTACTAGAATTTGTCTGAAGTTTGCTTGGGTTTATTATACAACTCTTGACAGTTCCAGACCAACTGTGTTGGCTCAAACATGGAGAATTTAAACATCTATGTAAATCTCATCAAGACTGGAGCTTCAGTTTCCATGTCAAACAAACTGAAATCTGCTCTAGTTTTGGCCTCACGTTTGTCTTGCAGTTCTCTAGTCTAGAGTTAGGAAAAGTGCAAGGGCAGCTCCCCTTGGAGTTCAATAGGATTAATCTCTATTACCATTTACTATATAATACCAGGGCCATCTCTGCATACATATACACCACATTTTGTCTAATTTACATCAACTGAAATTACCTTCATTGAAGAATATTGCAATTTGGGGGTATTTCAATTACAGTATACTGTTTCCATAATCTTTACTGGTGTTCATTGCAGAATATAACCTTACCATCAGTGGCCTATTGAAATAAAAATAATTGCATATCATATGATCATAGACTTTTTTCATTAGTGTAAAAGCACAATGGTTTCCTCACATATAAGAAAAGAGCTTTTTGGTAAAATGGTAGTATGTCATCAGTTTGAGGAAAACTGCAACATAGGTATCAGCATTCGGGTATCATAACGAAATTATTTATTTAATACGCTTCTGTGGCCACCCAGAAGAAAAAGGGATAACAGACCCAAGCATTTGCGAATCACGAAGTTGTGGGTTGTTGTGTTTGTTAACTTGAAGAGAACGTGTATCTGAGAGTAGATCTATTCGTATCAGTTAGATCCTCATCTGATTAATACCTTTACTCCAACTTAAATAGCAGTCTTGCGGTTGGTCACATTTTGCTTAGGTCAGCTTCAGCATAATATTTAGTGCATTTGCATAAGCCTTCCATCTGCGTATAAATAAACCTCAAAGCAGCTAAGTCAGGACTGTAATAACTCTATGTGTTTGCCAATACTTAACAGATTTTTATGCTCATAGCATTTTCTTTTTAGCTCATGACCACTTTAACTATGACACTTTATGATCTACAAAGAAAATGGATAATTACATTTTTGTTAAGTGCCAGATTATGAAATCATTATTACCTTCTTTTGTAACACACACTGTTCATTTTGTTGTAGGTGTTGGGGAAAACCTTACAGATCCATCTGTGATTAAACCTGAAGACAAAAAGTAGGTTTCTTTCTGATGAAATTATCGTTCACTGCAGATGTTCAGCCAACAGTGTGTATATTTAGGGTGTTTTTTATGTTTTGTGTGAGTGTTTTAATTATTTTTCACATGGTGTTTGGGTTAAATGAAGGTGTGATGGCAATGGAGAGACTACATCCTCCTCTGTGCTTTGGAGGACTGTGGGCTTGGGGGGCTGTAAGTGTCTCAGCTCCCAGCATGTGGTGAGCGGTGTATGAAGGGTGGGGAGAGTCTGTGTTGCTGCGCTGGGAGCACAAGAGTTTCCCAGGGCTATGCAGGGGG